TGTGTGTTTGTGTGTGTGTGTGTGTGTGTGTGTGTGTGTGTGTGTGTGTGTGTGTGTGTGTGTGTGTGTGTGTGTGTGTGTGTGTGTGTGTGTGTATCCTGACTGGATGGTGGAGTTGTGGATTGCAGGTTTGTGTCAGACTGAATTACAGGACACACACACACAGAATGATGTATTTATGTGATTATGTAGGGTGTGTGATGGTAGAAGGAAACACACACATGTTTAAGTGTTGTGTGTGTGTGTGTGCTGGCCTCGTTTGGTATCTAAAAATGAAGTTTTTCCATCATGAAACTCAAGCTGGCCACGTCCACACTGCCGTTACAAAGCCTTCAGTCATTTACAGCAGTGATGACGACGACCCTCCAACATTTACTATAAACTCACATTAAACCTGCAGCATGAACAGGACAGACTGAAGGGCTGGAGGCATTTACAGGGTTATTACAGGTAACTAAAGCTAAAATGTAAACCTGACTTGAAATAAAATAAATGTTATGAATAGGGATGTAACGATTCACTCAACTTGAATTCATTTGTAAGTCGCTTTGGATAAAAGTGCTAAATGACCAAATTTAAATATAATGTAAATAACTAAACTAAATTTTAAAACAAGCTCCAAATCAAATAAATAAGTAACACAAATAAAAGAAATATCTTCATATAAACAAACTAAGGCTTTGTCTGTGCTCTTTTCTTTTAAAATTAGAGGCAACCACTGCATTTTAATCACGATCCAAACACAGATGCTGCATACATGCAACACCAGCAGTTTTTAATCTAAATTAGATTGTATAATTTCAAAATTTGAAGCAAAAACAGAATGGTTTGACTTCAGTTTTGTGAAACTATACATAAAACATATCTGCATGAAACCGAAACAGCAGACGAGCTGAACGAGACGCAGATGCACTCTCTGCCAGCAGGTGGCGCTTAAAGCGTTTCCGCTGTAAACAAAGCAGCGCTGCGCTTATGAACTTTAATATGCATTACACAGAGGCAAGATGAGAAGAGAAAATACCATCTAAACTTTTCTAAAGACAGTAAGTTCACATCAGACATGCATTCATATAAACTCTTAACCCTAATTGAATCTCGATTTGTTTAGCATCTCAACCGATTTGAATCGTCACATATTTGAATAGATTTTCAACCGGCTCACGGTTAATCATTACATCCCTAGTAATAAAATAAAATAAAACTTTATTCCAGCAAGTTGCCAAGGTAACATTTATCATTTAAATAAAACTAGATAAATAAAAAATAATACTAACTATAACAACTAAAACTTATAAAAATGACAAAACACAAAATGATGAACTTCAAAATTAAAATGAAAAAGGAAAATATAAAAATAAAAACTGGTTCAAACCATAATCAAAAAGCATGTCCAATCAATACAATACATTTGACCAAGTTATTAATGTATTAACATTTTAACAACAATGTTGCCCTGTGAAATGTTTCAGTCTATTTAGAAATGCTGTGTTATTTTAATGTTTGTCTATTTTAATGTTTATGGATACTGGGATTTATGACTGAATAAAAATGTATTATTAAAATAATGGTATTCAAATGAATGCACAAAACTTCAACCGTTTATTTCATCTTTTAAAATGTAATCAAATGAAAATGAACAGTTATTTTCGTTTGTTGGCAAACAAAGTGCTAAACAGAGGTTTGCTGTTAAAATGAAAATCAACAAAAATATATTTCTGTCACAGTTTCTTCAAATTAAACTGAACTTTTATTTTGGCGGGTTGTGGTGAAGATCTTTAAGTTTCTGTGTGTATGTGACAGTAGTTTTCTCAGATGACAAGTTGTTGGTTAGGTGATGATGATGAGGTTGATGTGTTGATACAGTGAGACACAGACGAGTGTCACACATGGGTCAGTATGTGTAGTGCAGCACAGGCACTGCATGCAGTCCTCAGACTGAAGTGTATTTCATTCTCTATTGAAAGTCCACAGGTCTTAGGCTATAGAGGGCGACGTCAGCCGTCTCTCTCTCTCACACACACACTCACACACACACGCACGCATGCACGCGCGCACACACACAGACACACACACAGTCTGGTCAGCTATCCTTGTGTGGACTCTCCATAGGTGTAATGGTTTTTATACTGTACAGACCGTATATTCTATTGTCCTACACCAACCCTACCCCTAAACCTACCCCTCACAGGAGACTTTCTGCATTTTCAGATTTTCAATACACTCCATTCTGTGTGATTTATAAGCGTTTGTACCCGTGGGGACCACAATTTAGGTTTCCACCGTGACACGAGTCCCCATGAGTCTGTGTGTAGTCAGGCTTAAGTCCCCACCAGGATATATAAACCAGTACACACACACACACTCGGTGAGGTGTCTCTCTGCTGAAAAGGTTTTTGACAGTGTTTCCTCATTATTTGCAGCTCTGTTGTTTTTGCCGTACTGCTGTGAGTGTAGTTAAACATTCATGACGGAGCACTGTGGAAATGTCACGCGTCTAAACGTGTCTCTTCCCTGCGGATCACAGAGAGAAAACACTACACATTCACATCCGAGAGAGAGAAGCAGAAAGCATGGCCATCATGTTTAGTAGTCGTCACTATTACTAGTGCTCATAGTGATCCGATCGCGGGTGGAAACAGTCAGATCACTGAAACCAGACACAGAGACAGACACATCACCTTTGTACTGGAAACACTATTAGTCCTGAATGCATCCCAGACTACAGTACAAAATCAATTTCATTCAAAAATAGGCATTAATCATTTTTTTTGTTACATTTCCAACATAATCTAGATATACATCATTAGCCTGTTCTGAAATCACTCATTATGTGAAATAAGATGATGGTGATTCTGCTGCACCTACACACAGCAAACAACACTCACATTTACTTCAGATCTTCCGATCTACTCATTCTGTCATCATTCAGTCTGACATCAGTGTTAAATATGATGTGTTGATCAGTTCAAGGAATAGTTTATCTAAAAATTAAAACTTGCTGATGTGGATGAGTTTGTTTCTTCATCAGGTTTGTAGAAATGCAGCATTGCATCAGTGTCTCAGCAATGGATGCTCTGCAGTGAATGGGTGCCGTCAGAATGAGAGTCCAAACAGCTGATAAAAACATCACAATAATCCACAGCACTGCAGTCCATCAGTTAACATCTGGAGAAGACAAAAGCTGAAACACATCCAGCATTAAGATGATTTTAACTCAAATACCATAATCCATAATAACGCTTCCTCCAGTGAGTCAGTGTTCTGGTGTG